GGGTATTAACATAACATTAGCATTACATCCTCTTTGCAATCAAGCCAATGACTTTGTACTTTTTTCTTCACTTGCAATCTGTAAATAGCTGTTGCATGTGCTTACCTAATGCACTTGGAGAAAATACACAATGTTGTCAGTCCATTGCAGCAATTGTTTATATCTCCTTGTCAAAGTTGACAAGCTAGCCTAGGTTAGAATGCTCCTCCTCTGATCATATTGAAAGTGCACAGGCTAAGTGCTTTTAGGCATCAATAATATCATCAGCTGAATAACAGCAGAGAGGTCGTTCTGTTAACTGAGTATGTTGACTTACCACCTTCTGCATCTGAAACTGACAGACTTCATCTCATGGTGGGGGGGGGGGGGGTGGGTGTATGCTAATTGCTTTTAGACATGAACAACATCTCCCTCTGAATCCCTAGCAAAGTGGTTGTTCTGTTTACAGATTATGTTGATATAACGCCTCCTGCCTCTCACTCAGGAGAGTAGCTGCAGTCAGGACAAAGTGAACTTCTTGTTTACTAAGTGTGTTGACATAGCACCTTCTGCCTCTAAACTGCCAAAAGTTGATGATAAGGCCTGGATGAACGATGCTAATTGTTTATACGGTCTATTGACTTATTGCCTCCCTACGCTAACATGACAGGGTACATGCCATGCTTGGATTAAGCTGGAGAAGAGAAGGGGAGTGTACTATTTAACTTAGCACCTTCCTACCAAAAGATGATGTTGATTTCTACACCAACCAAATTCCAAATATCATCTCTGGATCAATCTCTGGAACTCACCTTAACCCTAACCCTAGAGTGAACTCAAAACCCTGTTGCAACCCTAACCTTAACTTTATATTTACCCAAAATAAAGCCTGAGTTGTTGCCGGAGCATGAATTTGTCAGAGCATGCTATTATACCTAATACCTACATTGTAGTTTAGTGTTATGGATGTAAGTGGAAGGCTGTGGTTATTTAGACATCAAGTTACACTAACATGTCAAACGTTTTGGGAAATTGCAATCTTAGGAAGATGTGAAAGTAGTCTGTAAGAAGGGAACGCTCTCTCTCCCTCTCTCCCTCTCTTTCTCTATCGCTCTCTCTCCCTCTCTCTCTCTCTATCGCTCTCTCTCTCTCTCATTCTCTCTCTCTCTTTCTTTCTCTCTCTCTCTGTGTCTCTCTCTATCTCTTTCTTTCTCTCTCTCTCTCTCTCTCTCTCCCTCTCTTTCTCTATTGCTCTCTCTCTCTTTCTTTCTCTCTCTCTCTCTCTCTCTTTCTCTCTCTTTCTCTATCGCTCTCTCTCTCTCTATCTCTTTCTCCCTCTCTCTCTCCCTCTCTCCCTCTCTTTCTCTATCGCTCTCTCCCTCTCTCTCTCTCCCTCTCTCCCTCTCTTTCTCATTCTCTCTCTCTCTCTCATTCTCTCTCTCTCTTTCTTTCTCTCTCTCTCTCTTTCTCTCTCTCTCTCTCTGTCTCTCTCTCCCTCTCTTTCTCTCTCTCCCTCTCTTTCTCTCTCTCTCTCTCTCTTTCTTTTCTCTCTCTCTCTGTCTCTTTCTGTCTGTATCTCTGTCCGCTTCATTTTATCTTACATACCCCCCCCCCCCCCCTCTCTCTCTCTCTTTCAGTCTGTACCTCTGACCCTGTATCTGTTTCCCTTATTCTTTGTCTCGATCTGTCTCTTATGGACACATTACTTTTCCATCTCTACTTGTTAAAACCAAACAGGTATCTCGACTATAAAGCTTCACTTACGAGAATTCTTCCACAATCATTGTTTTGTACATAACCTTAGGTCTCTAAAAAAAATATCAGTCATTACATGTATACTGTAATGTAACTGTATTGTACTATGTACACTGTACCTTACACGATTGCCCATATACTGATTCTAAAAACAAAAGTCAAATTTAATCTAAACACCAAGTACTAAATAGTTGGTTAGTAATGCATCATTGATCATATCACATTTATGAAATGTTATATATTATGGGAATTAATTAATATATCTTCTTCTTAGAGTAGAATAATGGGTTAAATATCTACATCTTGCGGTAATTTGTTCTCTTTTTTTTTTTTTTATAGAAACACATCATTAGTGCCAAACCTGAGTTAATTAATTTCGTATTACACACAAATCTCCTGCTTCAGGTCAGGATTGTCATGTTCGTCACTTGGCCCCAAATAAAAATAGAGCTGTCACTTCAGTCTGTCCGTGGAATTGAGATGACATCTTCATGTAATTCTCAGCAACTTGTATTTGATTAGGAATGGTCCACTCACAGCTAGTCTTTATTTGCAGACCCTCTTCTATCTTGGGTGAAGATTCACATTTAGAAGTTAACATAGCTATTACATGTTGGTAGTCTTCTTACTTCAGACTCATTGTCCCGAATTCACAAAGGAGGTTTGTCGACAAACCTCTTTTTTTTAGACAAACCTCCTTTTGTTTCGACAAACCAGGTTTGTAAAAAATGCGTCAAAAACGCGTCATATGACGTACATAAACCTTAGTTTGTCGACAAACCTCCTTTGTGAATTCGGGCCATTAAATGTACTATGTCCCATTTGCAGGCCAAAAAAATGAAAAAGTTAAATTCCAACTGCATTTGAAAGATAATTATAATTTAGAACTTCCCTAAAAAAGGTGGGGCTTGAAAATGTCTTCAAGTGGGAAAATAACAACTATTAGTTGTCAAATCGACTTTAGGGCTATAGAGCCCAAAAGTAATAGTCTTGATTTTCAGACAATTGTACCGAATGGTCATACGTTTTATGCTGCGCAAAGATTCAATCAGTTTAATCTTGGCCATCACAAGAAGTGGGTTATTGATGTAGACAAATGCTCATGTATCCTTTACAACTCTTTTCATGTATGTTATTACCAAAGAAGGAAAAAAGCCAGTCAATCACTCAATAGTGTCTGACAGTGAAATCTAGCAAGTAAACAGGTTTCCTTGCATAATTTGAATATGAGGACACTGCTAACGTTTAAATTTCACAGATAGGACATACATGACATATACATAATTCCTGCAAAGTTCTACAGAATTTGAGGTTGGCTGCAAAAGGGACATAGTACCTTTAAGAGGGAAAACAAAATACTCTCAGCAATTTTTATTTTCTTAGCACTGTCTGATAGAAAAGGAAAACGGGTCTCATAGTAAAGACAATGTGTAATGTATCCTGTAGCATTGCACTGAACATTGATGAAATGAAATTTTGGATATAAATTTCAGAGACACCATGAACTATAATTATACAAGTTTCTTCTCTCATCAATCTCTGAATCTATTTATATGCAAATGATGAATGCGCATGATTGAGTGATCTATCTGAGGATGTGTACAATCTAGCGTACAAAACCATTATGCTGAGTATGATAGACCCCTGTTACAGTGAGCAAAAGGCCTGGCCTAGCACTGTAAACGCACAAAAGGCCAAATGCGAGGCCAAACTGGCCGCGCATTTGGCCCTGCTCTGGAGGTAGTATCGGCCATGGCCTGGCCCGGCCTTTTCTCACTGTAAACGCATGCAGGGCCAGGCTGTGGCCCAACTGTTACCCCGGAAGTGAAAGTTCGCCGTGTATAGGAAATTGGGGAAAAGATTCACTGCAAATCGCGCGCGACCGGATCTGCACTGTGACCCCTGGCGGGCCCCCCAAATAATTGTATGTTTACATGCAGAGCGCCACTCTGACAAAATATTGAAAGGTTACAATTTAGGCCGCGGCCTGGCCTAGCACTGTAAACGCACAACATTGTAGATGGGTATTTCCATTTAGTAGGGTACCAAACTGTGACATGGGACCTAAATTTTCAAAATGTTTAAATCTTATGAAAAATGTCATATTCAATTGTCAAAACATCCACACTTTCAGAAAAAAGTGGTCATTTAATCCCTTTGTCCCATGACTTGATGTTAATATCAACCGAAACAGAACTTCACAAGGCATGTTTCACGTGTAAAGTGGGAAAAAGGGACACCAAAGTAAAAGTGTCTTGGTGCTCTATCAGTGACTTGTTATTAGTATCATGGAGTCTTTTTGCCAGGTTAATACTTTGTTGTAAGCACTTTATTCATGAAACAAATGCCAATGTCTATTCATTTGATGCAAATAAATGGCACCAATACACATTTTGGGCATTTTAAACAAAAAATGCAAATTTGGGGTATTTTCGGCTATGTTGAACAAATATATGATAGAAAAGCATAGAGATCCATCATTCATTGGAAAAAGCTCTTTAAATTGCAGTTTGGGAAATGTTATAACACCTTATTAAGTTTCATCTTCAAGTTCACATGCAAATTCCCACACATTAATTTCAAATATCATGTTTCACGTGTAAATGGGACACCAAAAATGTTGGTGTCCCCTTTACACACGAAACAAAGTCTTTGTGGAGCGATTTTGTAATCAATGCATGTATTTCTGTGAAAGAAAACTTTGAATTTGGATTGAATTTAACTTCCAAATTCCAATCAAATTAAAATTTAGTTGTATAAATAGCTTCATAGTACTTGAAGCTAGTTTTTTTCGGTCATGTGACAGTCCACGAAAAACTATACAAAAGTGTATAAAAGCATAATTGAAGAGTTGGCCGACTCCAGTAACTCCATAATCATACAGACACAAATTTTGCTGCTTCTATTCAAATCACATCATCTGTGTTAATACCCTTTATCATTCCACAATCATCAGATTAATTGTACATTTCCAAATTATCATAATTGTTGACATGTTTCACGTGTAAAAGGGACACCAAATTTCAGCAACCATGTGGTCATTTCCAAATAATCGTTATGCATTTTGTTTTTCTTTTCATGAAGTTCCATGCAACATTTAATAATACATGTAACAATGTCAGCCTTTGTATTGTGTCACCCAAAGTTAAGAGACCATATTGTTTTGGATTATTTACACAGGTTATTATGCTGATGTCATCTCTCAACCTCAAGTGCCACGGAGTGTTAAATGAGTCAAGTTCGCAATAAAGACTCACAAAACGCAGTTTTATTTAGTGTTGATTTATTTCAATGTTGACTTCAGTTCTCCATCTTCATGTTTTAATTAACATTATGTTAAATGTTTAGAGACCTCATCATTCATTGGAGGGGCGCCATCAACTAACTTTATAGCAACAACAATCATTAAAAAAAAGTTTTATATTGAGAATATAACGTTCATACTAACATTAACCTTTTCAGTTGATCATAATTCTTGTTCCTGTTCAGACAGAAATTTGTATCTCGCAGCTGATAAAAGCATTTGTTTATTGTTGACTTTAATTTTCCATCTTCAATTCTTCCTGTTTAATTATTACATTATGGTGTTTATTGACGTCATCATTGATTGGAGGGACGCCATCAGCCAAGTGAGCCAACTTTGCAACAACAATCATTACAAAAAAGTTTTATATTGAGAATATAACGTTCATACTAATAACCTTTTCAATTGATCATATTTCTTGTTCCTGTTTAGACTGAAATTTGTATCTCGCAGCTGATGTAAGCATTTGCTTTTCTGTGATCAGTCGCAGAAGGTCCCTGATACAAACAGTCTCATAACCATTCATGCAATGCAGGAATCAATAGGAATCTTGAAAACAATTGTTCACCCTTCAAAAGAAAAAGGATGATAATTGATGGGCAAATTTAGGTAAACCTCCACTTTAGTTTTTTGTTCAAGTTCCTACTGATTTCTGTATAAAGGGATTGAATCTAGCACAGTGATTTTTTAAACAAACAATATAATTTATGCAAACTTAAAATTTTGACAGCCCACGTACAGCAGGGCAAAAAGTTGACGATCAACATTACTAAATTGAAACTAGTTTTAAAATACTTAAAGGAACTCGTTCAATTTTGATACCCTGTGCTAGTCCTGTGGATTTGTTGCTTAAAGGTGTGTGACCCGATATTTTTCTCATTACCCACGCAAAATGTTAACCCTGGCCCCTGAGAGATGTTCCCTTTTGAAGATATTGGCAATAAAGTAGTAAATTACCCCCCCCCCCCCCTCCCAACCACACTGTAAGTTTGTGTTCTGTTTGATGGGGAAAATTTAAGGAACCTTTTGCTTCTAACATATTAGAACCAGTAGAGTAATTTCACTCAAATTTTAGAAGACTATTTTTATGACGCTCCTTCCTTCATGTGGAATTAGAAAGCATCATGTGGACAATTGGGTCACACACCTAACAATTATTAACATTCAAATGTTTAAGATTCCTTGTGGTAATCCAGCATTTTAGTCATACAATAAAATTATGGGAAAAATGATAAACGGGTCAAGACAGAATTCAGAAGCTTTCTATTTTTACCGATATAGGAAACAGAATTGAGTGATTTTGTTTTATAATTGTTTTATATTTCATCACTTTTTCACATTGATGTGATCCTTTACGTTACTTTATGCTTTTTTATTTCAGGATAAAGTTTGAAAATGAATTCAATCGAGTTCATCATATTGGTGAACTTGTAACAGCTAGCTCTGCCATCAAATACTGGGAGGGGGTCGATCATAACTGTAAAAATATCAGACATAGGATGGGTTGCTTCTGACTCAAATGAAAAGTCGTACAGGTCCCTCTGTCTTTGTTGCATGAATCGAACTTGAATGGGAAGATGATGACACTGTAAAAAGTAAAGAATACAATAACTTGAGTAATTTTTAAAAACATAAAGAAATGGTGAACCATTGATTTTATAATTAAAATCACCATCCTTATAAATATTCAGGGCTGTCAACTTTGGGGAACTGCTTCGAGGGAGATCGTATGCAATTCTTTTTGTTGGGCTCAACGGGGCGGGGTTGTTCAGTAAAAAATAAAAATAAATAAAATAAAAAAAATTAAAAAAATTTGAAGTGCCCACTACCCCCCCCCCCCCCCCCCCCCCCCCCCCGTTGAGTAAAAAAAAAAATGCCCTGAATATTCTGTTAATAAATATACAGAACTCAACATTGAATCGGTGCAGTCTCATGTTAAAATCATCAACTGATGAAATAAAGCCCTTTTCCCCGTGCGATTTGTTTATTTGTTTAAACTTGAAAACGCCAACACAAAATATCATATATGGGACTGGGTGCACGATCGTGACGCATTTTACGATGAGACTTTGATCGCTTTAAAATTCACATTTAACGAGCATTAGGCAATCCAAAATTATCATCTTTTAGATTAAGAACGAAATATACGTATAATTTAACGGAAATATTTCTAAAATGTAAAAGGAATATGTTTCAAACTACCGCAAAGCGATCAGATCAGAGTAACATCGTAAAATAGACACGAAAAAGATGTGCGTCGTGTCGATTTGTTTACGTAGTGATGAATTGGTGTCCTTCACAACGGTTACAGTATTAACAATATTTACGAGTAAAACAATAAATGAAGATGATTATTATTTGTAAAAACGTCTAAACTAGTCATTTTCTTGTTAAAACAGAAAAATGATGTTGCTTACCTTTGAATTCTGATTAGAAAGCCTCTCACAACGTAACATTCGTCCGCAATGTTCACAACGTAAACATGGGCGACACGAAACAATTTTGGTCTAAAAAATAATCGGAGTATCATCGCGGCAAGAACCGCATGGTAGTTTCATGCGATAGCTTCATCAGGGCTCTTTATCAACTGATTTGCTTGTTCATCAAGGCGCAGATCGTGTCGGGAGAACGATCTCAAAATTCACATCGTAAAATTTTGGCGAGACACCAATTTGTGAACTAAGAGAGTAGCAGTAATATTTTGACTCATTTTATTGCGATACCCATGTGATTCATATTTAATTCTAAGACCTTATTTGGCCTGATATTATAGGTATTATTTCTTCTGGTTTGTTGACATTTTATTCGAAAATATTTAAGCTTGAAAAGGTCCGTTTCATACGTAAAACTAGCGACACGAACATTTACGTTGTGAACAAAATTTTGCTTGCACTAAAAAAACATGTTGTCATTACGATCGAAAAACGGGAACCGCACGATGTTTTACTTCAATATCGAAGATACATTTAATCACTAAGTTATTGCTCTCAACTGTTTTCCAAGATCTTTGTAGGATTTTATAGTAACAATACTTTTCATGTACCAAAAATACCACAAAAAAGTTGGAGACACGTCACATGTTTTCATTATTTTTTCTTTATTTATCTATCTTTTTTCTTCTTTTTTTCTTCCGGTGATATACTTTGATCCTTACTTAAAAATATTATGATTAAGAAAAATGTCCACACCACTCTAAATAACCACACGGATGAACTCAAAACAAAAACCACCCACGACACAGCTGGCCCCCAACTAAATGGAATGACCCAGATGCACATACAGCCTCAATGAGAGCCATTAGACCAGTAAATTAACAAAATGGTCTTATTGTAAGGACCATGTAATTTATATCCTGGAACATTGAATATTAATGAAATTAAAATTGGAATATAGAATTGAGAGATACTGTGAAATTTTAGACATGTTCAAGTTTCTTACATCCATTTCCTCATCTATTAATATGCAAGTAGTGAATGCCCATGAGTTTATTATACACATATGATCTCCATGTAATTGCACTTGAGTTGAGGAAGTGTACAATTTACACACATGTAATTATTACTTTGTAATCAGTGCTCATGCTCTTTGTGAGCATAATAGTATATTTAAGAATATATGTTGCTAATGTATTCTAATGTTTACCAGCTAACCTTCCAAAGTTATTCCTTATCTTTGCAGAGTTTTGTTTCAAAAAGTGTGTCTGTTAGGCCAAAAAAAAGACGTATTGCCCTTTGTGACTGACCCAAAAATCTTGAAATCTACGGTCAGCTTTTAAAAAAAGTTTTTTTTCGTTATCGTTTTTTTAGAGAAAAACAATATTACACCATTAAAAACTGAGAAATATCAGCCCAAAGAGGGGGATAAAAAATAGATTTCCGACCAACGGACCCATGTTTTGGCATCTAAAGGGCAATAGAACATCTTTTTTTTAGGCCTTATGTGATGACACAGCATTTGTGGAAAGATGTTTGTATCAATCAACTACTTGAGTTGAGAAGCTAAAGCAATCGCACCCAGGACAAGAGTCATTTTACACACCAAATTCAATTTGCACTTCATTAATGGGTGCCATTAAACGACATCAATACATGGGGGAGGTTACAGAGCTTAACTAGCAAGGGGCATGTACTCACTGGATGATCATTGAGAATGAGATCTTACAAAGCAGGGAGGACAGACATGATGGGTGTGTGTGTGTATAGAACGTTATCAAGCTCTTCGCGCGCATGCACAGTTACTAGACAGAACATAATATTTAAAAGATAATGGTAGTGAGAACTTCCTTTTCTGGAAAGGACTGATTGCTGATCAGTGGTGCATACATGTATTTGTGGTGGTGTATATTTGCCTTAAAAGCCCTATAATTTGATTTAAATGTTCAGTCAATACAAATGAACTTTTGTAATGTAATCTATCTGTGCAGTTGTATAAAGCAACACAAGTTTATATGTAGCTGTATTTTGTGAAAGAAAGCACCCACCATATATTTCATATCAAGTCATAATTTATATTACCCTCTAACAAGATATCTTTCCTCTCTTTGCTTTTCTCTTTCATATTTGCTCCTGGTGGCTACCTTACTTCTGTGCTTTGAATGTCAATAGGTAAGTCTTTTTGGTTTGAATCTTACATTTCATGTTTTGTGAGATCTATTCTCCAGATTTGGCAACATAATTGCAAAGTCTCTGAAACATGAGCCTCAGGCAATTTCAGTAGCCGTGTGAGTCACCTATGGAGATGTTTGAAAATTACAATCTCTAATTCCATGATCCAAACATGATTTCTGAAGGCGATACAATAGAGTTTTGATATTGCCATCAAATTGATTTCTTAGGTATTTGTGATACATGTATTATGTTAATGTTTTGCCAAGATATAGTACTCATATAATATTTTGTATCACTCGGTTAGATAGAAGGAAATACAATAAAAAGTGAAGTGGGATAAGGTAAGAATCAAAAAGAGGAAGAAAGGTGTACATATGAAATGAAAATAAGCTGCATATTAATATGTTTTGATTATGAAATGATATCAGGAAGGGATAGTAAAGATAGAGAGAGAGAGGGGAGAGAGAGAGAGAGAGAGATATAGAGAGTGAGAGAGAGAGAGAGAGAGAGAGAGAGAGGGGGGGGGGGGTGAAAGATTTTATGGGAGAACACTCAAGATTGAAACTACTTAACATCTACCAAAGATTGTCTTTTGACGCACCAATTTGGTCTGTTCTGTCTAAATACATCTAGCGTCACTTCCATCTCTTTTCTCTAATTCTATAAAGAGGTGCAAGGTATTTCGTTTTTTGGCAATTTTGTGTCCCATAACTTACCAAATAACTTGGAGTTCTGAACGTAAATTGACACACACATTGTGTCATTTCACTTCAGCTCTTATATAGCCGTTAGCGTCATACAATGGTCAGATATACTCAAATCTTACATTTAGTCCATAACATATTTGACAAAACATCTAGGACTTGCCGGTAACATGTCCATCTGTCTTCCTTGTACCATCCTCTGTGCTCCATTCTACACGCTATTTCTGCAAAGGTAGTAGTGTTTTAAATTTCAAATGTTCCTTTAGCCTCATGGCAGCAATAACTTCTCTGCTACAACAGTCCCTTTTTTGAAATAAATATTCATTTGATATTAAGTAACTCTGGCATCTGGAGTTGCATGCATGTAGCGTATTACAGATTAATCCCCAATTCATGGGGGGGAGGAGGGGGGGGGGGGGGTATTGCATGAGCACATTAAGCTGTCTGAATTTTCTTCCTCCTCGTAGTGCACCATCATGTTCAGAGCCATTAAGGAAACTTAACCAAGATTAAGACTCTGGAAATAAAAGTCATGTCCTTTATGCTTGGCCTATTTTGTAAGATAATCTGTCTCAACGATTTTGTCGTTTTGCCCTACCGTATCTAGAATCTAGAACATGACTTCAATCAAGCAGAAGATCGACATAAAATGTGCCAGACAATTTTAATAATGTGTGATGTGACTATATCTTATTAAAGACGAAATATAATGATGAAAATTACTATTAAGAGAAATAGTACATTAACTCTTAGCATACTAGGAGGTAATACTTAGAATACTGCAATGTTTACTTGTCAGTTAATATTCGGGACACTTTTAAATAATTTTGAAAATTGCAAAATCTACTAATGTAGGGTTGTGTTTTCAATTGAGAAGTGATTTTTTTAATATTTTTAATTGTGTATCAATAAAATTGAAAAATATGGATGTCATTTTAAGACTTTGTCACTTCAAAGTTTAGAGTCCTATTGGTCACAAAGTAGAGATCGTGAAATACATGTGCAGCCTTTATCTATTTAGAGTCTTATATATTCAGTATAACATATTTTTCTTTTCATTGTGCAGCCTATCTCTCCTTCTTGATAAGATTTACTGCTGACATATCACATTTATAGCAAAAAATAGTAGATTTGGCAAACCAATTCTTGTGATATTTTTCTTTGTACTGCATATATACAACTTTTTTTTTGTGCACAATAGTAACTTATTACTTTGTTAGATATACAGTCAAACCTGCTTTAGTGACCACCTGTATATAAAAACCACCTGTCTACAAAGACCACATTTTTTGTTTCCCTTGAAAATGGTTTCTCATTGAAACATATACTAAAGGAACCTGTACACAAAGACCACCTGCATATAAAGACTACTTTTCTTGACTCCCTTGGGTTGTCTTTATAGACAGGTTTCACTGTACTACATTTTCTTCAAGTATACATGTACATAGTAATACCGCATGTTTCTAATCCCATCTCCTGTTTAAACATTCAACACACATGATACGCTGAATCTAGGTTAATTATGATATATGGTGCCCGGAATCCTGAAAAAATAGATGTGAAAAATGAAACCCGGTCATCTAAACAAGTGGAGTATTTTCCTTGGTATGGTTGCATATAGCATCCAATTCCCCTGATCAATACCAGTATTGAAGTTCCATTGTAGGATAGAATTTCTGAGCTAGAAACTATTGATGTGTTTTAGGAGAAATACATTATAAATTAGGTTATACTATGCCTCAAAAAATGAAGTAAAAGGGCGAGAAGAGCAGAGGTTCTCACTCTTTCTTTCTCTCTCTCTCTTTCTCTCTTTCTTTCTCCTTGTCATCTCTCTGTATGTCACACTTTCTTTCTGTCTCTCCCCCATCTTCTGTCTATCTTTCTCTCCCTGTCTCGTTCTCTTTCTCATTCTGAGTGTCTGCTTTGAATTATTTTTCTCGATCTTCATCCCCCCTGTTACTGTCTCTTTGTCATCTCTATATACAGGTATGTATGTCATTTTCTCTCCATTTTCTCTTCTCTCTCTCTCTCTCTCTCTCTCTGTCTCTGTCTCTTTTCCTTATGTCCCTGTGTCTATGACTGTCTCTATGCCTTTGTATTTGGCTAGTTATCATCTCTCTCTCTCTTTCTCTTTCTCTTTCTCTTTCTCTTTCTCTCTCTCTCTCTCTCTCTCTCTCTTCAGCCCAGCTTGCAAGAGTGAAACTCTTAATCATCATCTGTTCATATCACTCCTATATAATGATAATTAGGCCCATTGATTCATGCATGTTTCTCTTCCTATTTTTCCTGAAGTTTTGGCACTTCTGCCCCTCAACCACCCCGCTACACACTTTTTATAAATGAATTATTACAGTCCACTTTACGTCGAGACTAACCCCCCATCGTTCCTGCTCCCCCCTCTTAAGTGGGCCCTTACCCCCTCTCGGGTGGGCTCTTACCCCCTTTTAGTGATCCAGTTTCTTCAGTGAGTTTCATGAAGTCCAATCACCGTTTTTTGTAGGCCAGACAATCATGACGGCCACTTCGATAACCACTTTGACAAAAATCACGGGACTCGGGATGGACATCAATGACTTCTAACCTGAAAGCACTCACATGGTTCTTTGGAAAGATCTAATCTGCCCATTTAGGTAGGCAAGCTTTCACCACAAAAAAAAGGAAAAATAGCGAGCAACCTTCCTAGGGAAGCATGTCAGAAAACGTCAGTCGTGTCCATTATCAAACTAAATATAGAGGGTGGAAGTTTGAAATTGGAGGGATGGAAGCCTGGAGGAGATATTTGAGAATGAGACAGAGAGAGAGAGAGAGAGAGAGAGAGAGAGAAGTGTAGAGAAGCAAAGAGAAAGACAGTTATAAAGTGGACATGTCCATGGTTGAAATGGAATAAAATCTTAAGCATTTGCAAAGTGGTCATGTTCTTTACAGCGACAAAGGAAACAGTTTTTTAAATAAATAATT